CACCCTCACTGAGGAATCTCTGGTGTGACTCTGATGTCACAGCCAGACCCGTCACCCTCACTGAGGAATCTCTGGTGTGACTCTGATGTCACAGCCAGACCCGTCACCCTCACTGAGGAATCTCTGGTGTGACACTGATGTCACAGCCAGACCCGTCACCCTCACTGAGGAATTTTTGGTGTGACTCTGATGTCACATGTCACAGCCAGACCCGCCACCGTCACTGAGGAATTTCTGGTGTGACTCTGATGTCACAGCCAGACCCGTAGGAATTTCTGGTGTGACTCTGATGTCACAGCTAGACCCGTAGGAATTTCTGGTGTGACTCTGATGTCACAGCTAGACCCGTAACCCTCACTGAGGAATTTCTGGTGTGACTCTGATGTCACAGCCAGTCCTGTCACCGTCACTGAGGAATTTCTGGTGTGACTCTGATGTCACAGCCAGACCCGTAGGAATTTCTGGTGTGACTCTGATGTCCCAGCTAGACCCGTAACCCTCACTGAGGAATTTCTGGTGTGACTCTGATGTCACAGCCAGTCCTGTCACCCTCACTGAGGAATTTCTGATGTGACTCTGATGTCACAGCCAGTCCTGTCACCCTCACTGAGGAATTTCTGGTGTGACTCTGATGTCACAGCCCTCTGACTGTCCCATAATGAAGTAAAAAAATACTCCCCCTTACCATTTCATTTGTTTTATATAGTTATACATGGTTCGACTTTAAACCCTACGGCAAAAATCTGAGCTAGATGCTCCTATACTAACAAGTTTATCTTTATTTTGTTTACACTGTAAAATCCTCATAAAAAGACAGGATGCGCAGTTTGATTAATTTATTCAATATACTACACCTTAAAGGTGTCTAATTGTTTGGATGCCACAAAGCCTTATGTCTGCTTTATGCCACTACGCTGTGCAGATGTTCGACCACTAATATTAGGGTTACCACTGCAGGGAATCCAGTGACTTAATTCGCATTGCGCCCAGAACAAAAGAATGGAAATCGACTCTATTTAATGAGTAACTGTATGTCATAAGGGAGCCCTTGGTTGCTATGGTAGCAGTCATACTAGGATGTAATGACGCCGTACCTTTTGCCATAACTTCACGAGCGTGGCGCTGCGGTCACGCCGGCCACCCCGTGACGCCACGGCATCTGGAAACTTCTCTGGAGTGAGACGGGACCGTCTCGAAATGTCGGACGAGGATGGGAAAGCTATTCCGACTCTTTCTCAGACGTGGACGCGCGCAGATGTGTGACACCGCTCTCCTACGCCGTTTGGACATGAGCTCAGGCTGCGGCTGGCCGGCACCGTGACTAACACCGAGAGTATTTTCCAGAAAGATCTGACCATTGTATTTCGGTATTTACCTACCACACACCTTCTCAATTCCATACCCCCGAAAAATGGCATACTGTGTCTAACAGTATCTTTAGTCATTTTCACAGCTGGATGCTTTAACTGGAACACTTCATTATGTTTTTATTTTGCTGGGAATAGAATGGCGGACTGTGACGCACAGTACTTGTCCTACTGCTTGAATACCAAATGCATCGGAGTCTTTTACAAACATCAGCCA